ACAGAGAAAAATTACTTCTGTATAATTTACACAGTGCTTAAGGTTAGCTCTGAAACCAGTGATTAAGGAATTAAACTTGGCTTATGAACAAATATGCTCCAGGATGTTAGAACGTCAAATATCTTCTTCACTAATATTTTCCTTTAACTAACAATGTGCATTAAACTGCATTTAAATTGAAATAAAAAATCAATTACAAAACTTTCTTGAAATATCTCAGTGTGAGTAATCATGCAGATTTGGTGGATGCAACAGTGCTCCAAACAGCTGGAGCAACCCACAGAGAAGTACCAACATCTACAGGTAATGTACTGACAGCAGTTTCACATTATTCTTATATGAAATTTGCACCATCAAAACATTTCCCTACACAAAGCATACTTTCCAGAAACTAATAGTTAAACTAATAGGAAATCAAATCTTTTTAAGCTTAATTTCAGCCATTTCACTCCAAAAGTCCTCTAAGTATAACACAGTTCAGAACTCCACAACAAAATCTGGAGTCTACACAAAGACAGACTTTCTTGCACATCACTATTTTAGGACAACAGAACCCAAGATCTCAGGAAAGGCACTGACTGTACTTACATTTGAACATTGATCCTTTATTTGATAAGTCTGTAGTATTTCCTGGACGTGGTGATTTAACTCTTCTTCAATTTCTGAACCTGTTGCATCTGCGCATTGCTCTAAAAACTACAAGAAAGAGAATACTAAAAAATTAAAAGAAAAGAAATTGGGATAGCTCTACAGTTACAGGACTACCCCCTCAAAAAGGAATGGGGAATTACACAGTACTTGCCCTGTTCAGAATGACTTCAAGATCATGGACAGCATGAAGCAGCCCTTTCTCCAGAACCTTCAGCTGACTCAGCAGTAAGTGAACCACAGCTCGAGTACATGTCAGCATGTGACAATTTAAACAAGAACCTCGAATGAGGAAGTATAGTTTCTGGAAAGAAAAGGGGAAAAATGTTATCCTGGTATATTTCCTAGCTTGTTTTAATTTAAAGAAGGTGCTGCTATAATTGAGAAACCAGACTCATTAAAGAACTGGACTGGGGAAAAGAAATAATTCTTACAACCACACAAATTCATATGCAAAACATGATCTGCAGACAAACTATCTGCAGGCTTTCTAAATAAGATACAGGAAAAGCCTCTCATATCTATAGCAACTCTGGGATCAAAGCTGCTTTTACACAGCACTGTGATTACAGCATCTAATGGCTTATGCTTGTTCTATAAAGGACAATGTGGTACCCAAAAGTCAACACTAGTGAAATGAAAGGTTCCGGTCACAAGTACAGTTCTGGTGTCCTCAACATAAAAAAGGACATGGAACTGTTGGAACAAGTCCAGAGGAGGCCACGAGGATGATCAGGGGACTGGAGCACCTCCTGTATGAAGATAGGCTGAGAAAGTTGGGGCTGTTCAGCCTGGAGAAGAGAAGGCTGCGTGGAAACCTCATAGCAGCCTTCCAGTATCTGAAGGGGGCCTATAGGGATGCTGGGGATGGACTCTTCATTAGGGACTGTAGTGATAGGACAAGGGGTAACGGGTTAAAACTTAAACAGGGGAAGTTTAGGTTGGATCTAAGGAAGAAGTTCTTTACTGTGAGGGTGGTGAGGCACTGGAATGGGTTGCCCAGGGAGGTTGTGAAGACTCCATCCCTGGTGGTGTTCAAGGCCAGGTTGGACAGAGCCTTGGGTGACATGGTTTAGTGTGAGGTGTCCCTGCCCATGGCAGGGGGGTTGGAACTGGACAATCTTAAGGTCCTTTCCAACCCTAACTATTCTATGATTCTACTATCAGTGTACCTCAAGATTCTTCGTGCAATCATATTCTCCTCCAGCTCTGGGAGGAGATCATTGATTTTTATTATGCAGCATAGCTCTGCACACAACTGAAGGCTGGAATTACTCCTACATGATTTTATTCCTTGGTGAAAAAAAGTATTTTACTGCAAAGGTGGGACAAGACTAGAAGTGGGATGGAACTCATACTAACTTCAGTCTTCTGAAAGTGAGGGGTTAGTCTCAATTGGCAACCTATGCAGGAGCCAGCTACTGTGAACAAGGAGACCAGCCCCTCAGGAGAGAAATTCATCACAGCCCAGGCTCCTGTTACAGACCAGATGAACCTTCCTCTCCAAATAGCACCACTCCTCAGACTCCAGAAAGAGCTAAAAACTACAATCAGATTAGATTACAGAATCACAGAATGGTTTGGGTTGGAAGGGACCTTAAAGCTCATCCAGCTCCAACCTATCATGGACAGGGACACCTTCCACTAGAGCAGCTTGCTCCAAGCCCCTGTGTCCAACCTGGCCTTGAACACTGCCAGCGATGGGGCAGCCACAGCTTCTCTGGGCACCCTGTGCCAGTGCCTCAGCACCCTCCCAGGGAAGAGCTTCTGCCTAAGAGCTCATCTCAGTGTCCCCTCCGGCAGGTTAAAGCCATTCCCCTTGTCCTGTTCCTACAGGCCCTTGTCCAAATCCCCTCTCCAGGTTTCCTGCAGCCCCTTTAAGCACTGGAGCTGCTTTAACGTCTCCCCTTAAGGAGCTTTCTCTTCTCCAGGCTGAACCAGCCCAGCTCTTTCAACCTGTCTTTATAGGAGAGCTCCTCCAGCCCTGAGCATCTTCATGGCCCTTCAAAATAAGGCAAATACCACCCGCCAAGAAACGAGTCTGACCCGGAAGACCCTGTGTCCTTACGGGCAACTCCCAGTTACCCATGCCTGGGCATGACGTGCTGTGGTATGGAATACCTCTTTGGCTAGCTTGGGTCAGGTGTCCTGTCTCTGCTTCCTCCTAGCTTCCCCTCCTCCCTGGCAGAGCATGAGACTCACAAAGTCCTTGGTCAGGGCAAACATTACTTAGCAACAACTGAAAACATCGGTATTATCAGCACTGTTCCCAGGCTGAAAGTCAAAACACAGTGCTGCACCAGCTACCAAGAAGGAGAAAAACTGACTGCTACTGCTGAACCCAGGACACCTATCCTTACAGCCAAGAATCCTTTCATATTTACAAGATGACCCTTTGAAAAAACACCCACATGAAGCACTTCAGTGAAATGTGCAGTCTGACCATCCCCAGCATACATACATCAAAAAACAGGGGGTTGTAGACAGTCAGGGGCAACTCTATATGGCCAAAGTGACCAGGGCAGTTGCTGAAGTTCTGCATGCAAGTTGCACACACTTCTCTGGAGTCTGGAGGTCCCAAAGCCAAGTCATAGAGCCCATTAACAGCCGGATTCCCGACACTGTCCAAGTACTGAGGATTTGTTATGGGTTTTACACTCAGCTTCCTGAAGTTGGGAGAAAAGAACAAAAATCAGTGGCAGCAATGTCACATGCACTTGAATGACACAATGAGCTTTGGCATTGTATATCCATGTAATTTTTATTGATGAAAACATCTTTTTGAGGGCATTTTGCATACGCAGCCGGAATTTCTGTATATTGATTTCATCGTCTGAGCACAATCATTCATACCACACAAACACTTTTATACCTTTAGCCGTGCTTTAGAAGTGATTTTGTCTGTATGTCCTCTCAAGCAGTGATGCAGGTATAACAAAACACCTAGATGACGAGAGCTGCATGTCCTTGACTATACAGGTACAGACCCCACACCACCACTAAAGAAATGGTGACAGCTCTCTAGAACTCCAAGAGACAACGTGCTGGGAAAAGCCCAAAAACCCCATCTGAAGCAAAAATCCCAGCTTTGCCATACTTACACTGGCATTAAATACCCAAACCTTTTCCCACTGCTGAAACCAAGTGAGATCTCTTCTGTAACAGGACACTTGGGATCAGATCCCAGGCCAGGTTTCCCGGAGCGTGCTCACCAAGGAGCAAGCCCAGCCTTACCAGTACAGGGCTCCTCCAGGCTCTGGGGCTGGTGCTGAGGTGCCAACATGGGGGGAAGTCAACACATCCCCTAAGGGGAGACCCCCCAGGAGCAGCACAGCCCTTGCCCTCATGAAGTGAGCTTATGCTGCACCTCACAGCCTCTGCCCTAGGAGCACATGGAAGCGCTTCTGCTTCTCCTTCCAGATTTGGAAAGTGATCGTCCTCCTGTACTGGGCACTGGTGAGGCCGCACCTCGAATCCTGTGTTCAGCTCTGGGCCCCTCACTACAAGAGAGACCTTGAGGTGCTGGAGCGGGGCCAGAGAAGGGCACGGAGCTGGTGCAGGGCCTGGAGCACAAGTGTGATGGGGAACGGCTGAGGGACCTGGGGGGTTCACTCTGGAGAAGAGAAGGCTCGGGGGGGGACCTGATGGCTTCCTACAAGTGCCTGACAGGACGATGGAGCCAGGAGGGGCTGGGCTCTGCTCCCAAGGAACAAGGGATGGGACAAGAGAAAACGGCCCCAGGCTGTGCCAGGGGAGGTTTAGATTGGACATTAGGAACAGAGAGGGTGCTCAGGCATTGGATCAGGCTGCAGGATTAAAGGGCAGTGGTGGAATCGCCGTCCCTGGAAGTGTACAAAAACTGCAGACCAGACCCTGAGTGACACGGATGAGTGGTGGCCTTGGCAGTACTGGGGTGACGGTTGGACTTGACGAACGTAAAGGTCTTTTCCAACCTAGTCGATTCTACGATTTTAAGTGGCCACACTCCCCTCGACTTCACTGTCAGCGAGGAGCTCTGCTGAGAGAGGGAGACAGGCCGCCTTGTCTCCTCACAGACCCGCTTCCTCAGCCCCCCACCAGAAACCATACACCCCCCTTGCCGCCATCCTAGATGGCCAGGGCACAGCCGGACTACACATCCCAACAGGCCGTGCGCCTTCAGCCCGCTGAGCCTCCCCGCGCTCCGCCGCATGGCACGCCGGGAGTTGTAGTCCTCAGCGGCACCCAGGGCGGGGACCGCGGACAACGCAGCGCCTGCCGTGTTCCTCACCTGATCTCCTCGGCCGTATACATCCCGAAGGAGACCCCGACCAGCCGCCGCCACGGCACCACTTTCGGCTGCCTCATGGTGAACAAACGAGTCCTCCCGGCCGACACTTCGTCCCTATCTGCAGGCAGACGCCACAGGAGGAACCACGCGGTCCCGGCGGGCAGGGGCAAGCGAGGCCGGGCGCTACCAATGTCGCGGAGGGGAGGCCTCTCCCCGGCACTGCGGCAATGGTACCGCCCAGCTTCCCAGAGGGCAGTGCGGGAGTGCAGGCATGGCGGCCCGGCCGGTGGGGTTTAGTTCCTGGCAGCGAGTGTTATCGCTGAGCCGGCGGGGCTGCGTGCTGGGTTGGAGGAGAGAGTGCTACCGGTAAGGGTCCCGCAGCGGAGGGAAGGGAAGGGCAGGGCGGCGGGGACACCGTGCGGGCATCAACGGAGGAGGGGTGGTAGATCGGGGAGGTGAGGCGCGAAAGACTGCGCATGCGCGGTGGTGGCTGAGGCTTGTGGCTGCGTGGCCTTGGTGTCATGGCGTGGCCTTAGGGGGAGTCTCTCTTCAGGGCTTTCCCCTCCTTTTGGTGGGCTCAGCTGCTTGGAGCCGCTCCGGGAGTGATTTTGAGCGGTTAAATGCTGCCTGGAGCTGAATCTCACTGATTGACGAAGCTGAACGTGAGTAGCTTGTACCCAGGCAGCCAAGAAGCAAACAGCGTCGTGGCCTGTGTCGGCACCAGTGTGGCAGCGGGGCTAGGGCAGTGGTCATCCCTCTGTACTGGGCACTGGTGAGGCCGCGCCTCGAATCCTGTGTTCAGTTATGGGCTCCTCTACAGGAGAGACATCTCGGTGCCGGAGTGGGGCCAGAGAAGGGCAGTGGAGCTGGTGCAGGGCCTGGAGCACAAGTGTGTTCAAAAGCTGTGTAGATGAGGCCCTCAGTGACATGGGTTAGCGGTGGCCTTGACAGTACTGGGGTAACGGTTGGACTTGATCATCTTAAAGGTCTTTTCTATTCTACTTGAGTCTGTGATTGTATGAAAAAGCAGGTGAAGAGGGGAGGTTGCTTTCATTGTGTGCTTCAAGCAAAAAGGTCCCACTCCACTGGGTACTCTGCAGGCAAAATATAACATGTAAAATTATACCTCATCATAGGTTTTTGTGATGTACAGGAATACCTAGAGATTCTGCTTCATTTCTAGGTGTTCTAGCAGTACAGCTCTTGGGAAGACTGCAGACAATGCAGAAGGTATGATGTCTTAATTAGTAGTTTCTTGCATGTTCTTTTAACACAGTGTGTCTGGAGATAAGTTGTGAATGGAATGTCCTCTTTCCCCTTCATGGATTTTCTTTCCTGTGTCTTCATTGTGGAGAGATTTTCTGGCTTAACTTGCGTTAACTTGAGTTCTTTGCTCTGGGAGCATGAACCGAGTTGTCCACTTCCATGAGTTATCCAGTTGCCCTTTGAAATGGAATAAACCATAAAAATAAAAAAGGGTTTTTCCACCTTGATCCTGACACTTTTCTTCATGATCTTGCTTCTTTGTATTCCTTCCCATATTTCTACTCTGAGTTTTGTGAGCAGAGTGAGCTGGGATGCTCAGAGCCACGCCGCAGGTGTGAACAAGTTTCTGCCACTCACTAGCAGCTTGTGGAAGTATCAACACAGAGGCACTGGTTCTGGGGGTTGTAATCAGGAGGTTCCACATGTTCCTCTGAATGCATTTGCTAAGATGCTTTACCAACAACCTTTGACTTATTCATTGTGGTTTTGTTGTCTTTCTTTATTTCTCTTTGGGAAAACCTGGGAAAATTGATCTTGGGGTGAAAGGAACTGAGCAGCTGGAGCAGAAACTCAAAAAGGCATTTTACTGAGCTATTCAGACAGCTTTTCTACTACCATTGCAGTGAATTGTGGCTTACATTAAACTGTGGCTTCAAATTCTTTGCTTAGTGCTTTGAGCTGTATCAGCTTAAATTGCTTTTCATGATATTTTGGGGCATCTGTTTGTATAATAAGTATTTTAATATTGTTTTTCATAGTTGCACAAGAAGAAATAGTGCTCCCCCGAAGGAAAACCTGGTGAGTGTTTACTGCTGGAATTCTCTTGACCTAGAAGAAGGTCATTGTTAGACAGCTAAATGTAGTCTGTCCGCCAAAGTTGAACATGAAGATTCAGCTGCTGTGTTCTTGGGTTTAATGTGTCTCTCCCTGCTGACTGGGAGCTCTGGGAATATTCCAGTGCACTCCATTCCTGATCTTGTTTTAAAAACAGTTATAAGGACTGTATTTTTAAGCATAGTTCTGTTCCCTTGTAAAAGATCACATCTAATAGAAATCTGTAAAATCAGCTTAGTTTGACTGTCAACATGTGGGTGTGTTTCAGCAAAATAAACTTGACTGTTGATAGCTGCCTGAATAAATCCACTTTAGAAATGATGCATCTGAGCAAAAGCTAGAACAAAAGCACTTAAGGTGAACTTGCATGACTGCAGCAAAAACTAAGTTTATAACCAAATGGTGCCTGTATGTCAACCTAAAATAAGACCACCTTCACCTAAATGCTCTCACTGGCCTTGCCTTTGCTTTAAAAATGAGCAAAGTCTTAAGGAGTCCTGCAAAATCTAGGTTTGGTTGGTTGGGTTTTATTTTCTTCCCAAGACATGTCTTGGAGAGGGAGTTGTATCCATCTCTTAGAGATGAGGAGCTCTGAGAAGAGCATTTCAGGGAATTCTGTGTTCCTTCCCAGTGTTCCTTTTTTCAATCATGTATAAGGGCAGGAGTGGTAACAGGAAACACACATGCTTTTCTGGTTTTCCTCAAAGTCTTTTTTGTGTTTTTTTCCAGAACTGAGACCGTTTTAGTAGCTGAGTTTTTCCTCCTTTTGCAAAAAGTGATCTTTTCTAAGTGCAGCAAAAACCTATTTCCCAGAATTGAAAATAGGATAATGTGCTTGCTCTACATAGAGTGTAATGCATAACGTTCAAAGTCTGCAACTGAATATTAATTGAAGCTCCTTTATGTTTAGGGACAAACTGGCAGTTCTTCAAACGTTGGCTTCTACTGTGAAAAGGGTAAGTAGTTCCCTTGATCATGGAAATAGGTCAATTTGTCCATCTCAAGTGACAGCCTTGCACTCTGGGGGCTCTTACTTCTGCTTTGTCCATAAATGAAAGATGGGACTTTAACATCCATGTTTTACAGGGTTTCACTTGCTCAGCACATTTTGCTGTGTCCTTAAAGCCTCATTTTAGTGCTAAGAGAGCTGCAGGTCCCAGTGAAAGCTGTAATACTTCAATAAGGCGTTTGCTAACATCAGGAGCAAGTTCCTTTACCAGTTCAGTTGCCAACCCAGATTGCCTCTTCCCAGTCTCAGTCCAGAAAGCAAGCCTTGCAAAGAGCAAACTGCTGTCACTGTGTTAGCTTGTGTGTGTGTGTGTATAATGGCAATATTTTTTAAGCTCTTTCCAAACAGGCTAAACCCTTTTGAACTAGAGAACTTTTGTAAAGTAGGCATCAGGTGGTGATTATGTCTTGAATTCCATGAGGCAGTATGATATTCCCACAGTGTCAATGTGTACATAACTGAACATTTCAATCCTTGGGTTTTACTTTCTACAGGATCCTACTGCTGCTCATTATATGTTCCCAGATGACCCTTACTTTATGCCAAAAAATGCAGCCCATTTTGTAAGTATTTCCTTTCATATCTTTGATAGCAACCCCCTTGGGCTTCCGCAGTTACAAAACAAAAGCCATCAGATTTCTTTTCTCCTCTGTGTATTTGTGAATGCATAATGACAGGAGCATTTCTCTGCATGCTAAAGAAATCCACCCTGTACACACAAAGTGCTCTCTTCCTGCCCATGCAGGGACCTTCCAGTTGATACAACTCTGTTAACATTCCTGCAGGTTAGTGGCTTACTTGCTGAGTTCTGTTTCTCCATGTTCTGAGAAGAGTAATTCTGTAGGTGAGGCATTAAAACTGTGTTTACAGACTATGAATTTGTGGTGTTCCAAGAGCTGAGATTTTGTGCTTACAGTTAAATTAAATGTATGACTTCAAGCAGATAAGATCACCTGTGTGTGTGTGTGTTTGTGTGTGTTACTACATAGACTACATACTACTAGTTTACTGTCCTAGCCAAGCCCCAGGAATTTTAGTTGTATCACAGAGCACAGCTATTTGTTAACTTAGGCTTATGCAAATAGAAGTGTTAAGATGATAATAGAGAAGAAGGGAAAGTCTCTCCCTGATGTTACCTTTGCCTAAGATTAAAGAGCATGAAGCCGAGGTGGGAGAAAGCAGAACTGGAAATGAGGGCAAGAAGGAATGTGATGTTAATTTAAGTGTAATGAGAGAAGACTGGGAGCTGAGGTACATCATTGCAAATCAATGATGTGGCTACCAGAGGGCTTCAGTTCTGCATATCAGAGGTGAAGCCGTTGAAGAGACAGAAGGCAGCAATCAAATGTGAAGAGTTTGAAAAGAAACAGGATTTAGAACTTGAGGAGAGGAGGTAAATGGGAATCAGATTGTGCCCTTGGAAATTAAAGCCAAGGAGAGAAATATCCAAGTGCCGTAACTCTAAAAAGAGAGCTTTTCAGCTTGAGGCAGCAGTGCAGCATTTCACATGCCTGGTACAGAACTCTGTATCTTGACTAAGTAAGAAGGAAGGAAATGACAGTCTCATTAAAGAACGGACATTCTTATATTGGCATAAATACCAGAATGCTTCTCTGGAACATTGTTTTGTGCCTATGTTTTTACTAAGAGTTGAAAATAAAACAGGAATTCAGTTTTGATTCTGTGAGAATGCTCAGTGTTATGGAAGATGTTTTAATGACTTATTTCTTCTCTTGTTCTCTCTCATTCCTGTGCAGCGGCTGTTTGCATTGTCGAAGGAGTCTGGGAAAAATGCTGCAAAATTCATTGTGAAGCAGTTTCCTCAGTATTTTGACAAGATTACTGTACATCCCGACGTAACAGTAAGCATTTGGATTTTAATTTTCATTGTGTCTGTGCTTTGTCAGGTAGTGAAATCAACTGTCTGGTCCAGAACTAACATTAAAAGGATTATTTTGTCAGCTGTTTTGCAGACAGCTGTGAAGGCATTACTGTATTTCCATTACGTTTCTGAAATGAACGTTTTTCCTTAGGAATTCAGTCTCATATCAGGTTCTTTAGATAAAAGTAAGAAAAGAAATGTTTAGATGTTCAGAGAAGAGAAGCTGTGTGGAGACCTCAGCGCAGCCTTCCAGAATCTGAAGAGGGCGTTTGAGGCTGCCTGAGAGCGACTCTTCATCAGGGAATGTATCAATAGGACAAGGGGTGATGGGTTCAAGTTTAAACAGGGGAAGTCCAGGTTAGGTATAAGGAAGAAGTTCTTTACTGTGAGGGTGATGAGGCACTGGAATGGGTTCCCCAGGGAAGTTGTGAATGCTCCATCCCTGGCAGTGTTCAAGGCCAGGTTGTACAGAGCCTTGGGCAACATGGTCTAATGTGAGGTGTCCCTGCCCATGGCAGGGAGTTGGAACTGGATGATCTTAAGGACCTTTCCAGCCCAAACCATTCTGTGATTTTTATGTTGACTTACTAGCATGAAGGTGAGAGATCAGGGTGTGTGTGCTCTTTCATCGCCAAAAGGGCTGCTGTTGTTGGGCTAAGAGGGTTGAGAGACTATGAAAGCAGTCTTGGGTGAAGAGAAGGGTATTGAACAGGAGTAAGACCTTTGAGCAACCAGGGAAGTGGAAGGTGTCCCTGTCCATGGCAGGGGGTTGGAACTAGATGATCTCTAATGTCTTTCCATCCTAAACCACTCTGTGGTTCTGTATTTGATTAGTTACTTTAGCAGTGATTTAGAGAAGGTTTGAGCTCTTGTCTGACTTGCACTGTTTGCTTTCAGTGCTTTATGCCTGAGATTCTGACGCCTCAGATTGAAGGAGTGAGTGAGGAAGCTCTAAAAGAGCGTATCCACCTCAGAAGGGTGAAGGAATCTGTGGACCTGTTTGATCAACTTGTACAAGCAGGTATGTGTTCAACTGCCACATTCTGTGGTGGAGTTCTACTTCAACTGTACCCAAAATACCTTAGTAGCTGGCGCAGGCTATGGAGACAGTCCCATGACTACATTGCTGCCCCTCACAACCAACTCATCTGGTGAAGTAGTTCTCCAGAATCACTGGGCCCTCCTTATCTACTGCATGTCTGACATGTCATTTTGATGATAAGGAGAACAATTGATCTCTGATCAAGAAACAGATGATATGGTGTGGAGTTTCATCCTTCTCTTCCAAAGTAAAAGAACTGTGATGTAGCAGAGCAGGGCCTGTTATGGGCAGATGTTCTGTGATTGAGTGGTATCATTCAGCCTTCAAGTGCCCTTTTGCAGTAGCCTGTTGGTTGGTGTAAGCTGCATCTGTGCTGAGCACTTTGCTGCTGTGCTGGACTGGTGCAGCATATCAGCTGAGTGTTCCTTTTGTGGACCTGCCCTCAGTAAATGAGTCTTAGTTCTTACTTAATTTAGACCCTATTCCTGTTATGGTGAATGAGGAGAAGGCAATAGAAAACTGTAACTGCCACAAGCCTCTGAAGGAGGAAGGCTTACTGGGAAGGAGACCTCATATCCACTAAAAGGTGGAAAGGAGACGATTCAATCAAATAGGTCTTTGTTTTGGTTGGTTTTAAATCTGTTTCATAGGATAGTGAAACACATGAAGTGGTTTTCACAGCAGGGTGTATCCTAGGAGTAGTTCTGAAAAGCACTGGAAATTTCAGATGCTCTGGATATATGCTGCTTCACAATTTCAGCTGCCACTTCCCTCTTCTACTTGGTCAGGAAAACTACTCTTCAGATAACTGTAGTTCAGTGTTATCCTCTGCTGTGAATGAGTTTGCAGAAGAACTGGTGTTACACTTGCTAGGCAGTGCCTTTGTGTTGAAAGAGAGCAAAGTGGTGTAACTGGGTGTTCAGAAGTTTTCTGGTACAGCTGTAGAATGGTTTGTTCTTTACTTTCTCTGTGACTGTTTGCTCCTCATTTTCTACAGGTACTTCTGTATCTCTGGAGACCACAAACAGCCTTTTAGATTTGTTATGCTTCTATGGAGATGGGGAATCTACACAGGAAAAAGAGGGAGAAACAAAAAAGGAAGAAGTAAAAGAGGATTTGGAAGAACCAGCGGTATAAAAAACCTGTTGATCTCTAGTTCTTTATTTCTTTCATACATAATGGGAGTGTATCAAGGTGATGTCAGGATTTTTGTCCTGTGATTACCTGCGTGGGAGATGGGGTGGATCAGATGCAGTCAACATTCTCAAGAGATAGAGCAATTATAAAAATCCAGTGTTTGACGTAGTAGCAAATAAAGCTGAACTTAGTAACTGGAACCCTGTCTTGGCTTAGTCCTGCTGAACTTGTTTTTATAGTTGCCTGCAAAGAAGATCTCTAGTGCAGATCACAAGTTAATTTTCTTCCAGTCTGAGCCATATTAACTAGGTTTCAGTGAAGTTTAGGGCTCCTGGTGTAGTCTTAAAAGCATCAGGTCACGGTACCATAGTAGATGTATTGCACAATATGTCCCTGGGAAGACTGTTGCGGAAGAAAGAGTGTTGCAGAGTATTTGCTGTAGTCTAGTGATTCCTAACAACTCCACAAATAATTTACCTTTTATTATGTTTAATAACATAAATATTAATCTAGTTATTGCTTCCTGAGAATTAGAATAGAAAATATTTCAATATAACCCAGTAAAACCAAGCTTTAGCAGCATAGAAATTGTGGCTTAACATCTGTGTTGGTCCCAAATCATGACATTTGATGTTGAATCGTAACTTTGACCTCTGAGAAACTTATTTCTGCCAAAATCTCTCCAGGTGAATGCTTCAGAACAGAAGGCTCCAAAGAGACAATTCCAAAGAGGTTTACAGTCATCTGGCCCTAGATGGAGGTATAGAAAATAATGCCAGTATTCCCATATTCAGTGGTTTGTGCACATGTGTTGTTATAAAACAGACTTCCAAGACATTTTGGCAGCCCATACTGGCAGATATTACTTACTATATACATCTCTAACCTTTTAAAGTATTGATGGAGATTGAATAAGTGATTGTAGAATAGCTCAAAGTATCACAAGTAATATATTTGAATGTGAGCCCTTGGGTGTACAGCCCATTCCTTTGTATTCTGCATGCTGAATCTTTTTCTTAAAGGTATCTTCTGTTGAATTCTTTAGCATTCAGCTTGTTCATTGATTCTAGGGAGAACAACAATGCTGAAAGGATATTCAAGATAATGCCAGAGAGGAATGCACACTCCTATTGCGCAATGATCCGTGGGATGGTGAAGGTAAAGTTACCCTTCAGTGGTGGGAGGGCTTTTTTCAGCTTGTGCAATCTCACACAGTCACAGAGACTCTTATTTTTGTTGTTGTTTTTTTGCAGCATGGGGCCTTTGTTAAAGCTTATGACATGTACATAGACTTGCTGAATGAAAGACACAAGGGTAAGTGTCTCTTGGTTTTACTTTGTAGTCTTCTAAGTAACAGGAACCCATTGGTGGGTACATGAGTATTTGCTTCATGGCAGTGATGATTGGCGCAGGGGTACGGACCTCAGCTGGATCATGGGAGCTGAATGCAAGCTGTTTGTTCCGGTGCAGCTGGCATGTGGCTGGCTCTCTGGAACCAGGTTTGCATGAGACTTCGCCAAAAACTGAGCCATGTCAGCACCAACTGTTCCCTGTAGAATATAATTGTCAGTTAAAATGAATCATCTTACATTTTCCAGCTGATGTGCACACCTTCAACGCACTGATTTCAGCAGTCCCACATCTGAAGGACAGGTTCTTGGAAAGATGGGAGTTAGCCAAGGTAAGGCAGTAGAGCAAAAGAGAGGGGAAGGGGGTAAGAGTGTAGGGACTGGGTCTGCTGTATCAGTAGAATTTTGCAGTTGTTAGAATACTAAAAACAAGAGCTTTGTACAAAGATACTGATAATCTGCTGTGAATGAAGTCCACTGGTTTAAACATAGGAGGTAGCTATTGAGGAGTGGAAAATGTACAAAGTCCAACCTTGCCCTTGAAGAATGGTTTGCCTTGTGAGAACATAACCTGATTCAAGAACTGCCTGGACAGAAAGCAATGGGGAAATCATGCTGGGAAATAAAACCAAATAAACCATTTTAGATAAAACCTCTTGGAATTGTAATTCATGCTGGTTGGGATGGAAATGGAATTTTGAGGGGTAACATGAGAGGCTCCAGTTTTAATGACATAACATCAGTAAGGAAAAATTGTAAGTTTAAGAATTTCCTTGATGAGACACAAATCTCCAAGGTCTGATCTGATGTGATTTTATAGTCTTGATTTTTGGTTAAATTAATTAAAAATTAGATGGTATTTCCTTAATAAGTGATCAAGTGGAGTCATTCACTTGAAGGGAGTGAGAAGCACTAGCTTGAGGAAATGCGTGTATACCTAGATGACACCTGAATGTGATCTGTAGCATGCAAAACACTAAGGATTTGGGGATTCTTCTTTAAGGACTTCCTGAATCACATGGCTCAACAGGAAGTGCAACCAAATCTGCTAACTTTTAATGCTGTACTGAAGACCCTGAGAAGATGTGGTGGTGTAGGCAGAAGTATGTCGTTATTGGTAATAAAGGAAATGGAAGCACTTGATATAGGTAAGAAAATGAGGGTGGTTATTACATTCCAATGCCACCTCCAGAATAGTTGATTTAAGAGTTACAGTGATTCCTAGTTGGAGGGAGGAAGTGTGGAAAAAGCATTTCTCCCTGTGTTCTCAACTTCACTGTTTGTTTCCTTGTGCAAGAGAACTGAGAAATAAAGATAAGTACTAAGCTGTGGCCACTCAGCAAGCCAGTGCCTGTGGATTTCAAACTGAACCATCATCTTCAGTCCTTGTCAATTAGTAATTGCAATACAGTGGGTGCACTTAGCCCCTTAGGTCAAATAATGAAGCATTTTGGTGCTGTGGTTAGGAGCATGTTTATCATGACATTTTTACTTCTAGCTACTTAAGGTGTGTTCTGGCCCATAGGCTCTTCATCAACTGGGTCCTTATTGTAGTACTGTAGAAATTACAGTAAATTTATGCATGCTGCTTAGGCACAAAGCTTAGCCAAGAATGTTGAAGTAACTTGAGTGTTTTTGCTTTCCAGAGCCTAGCCTTGCGACCTATGAGCATCTTCTCTTCATGTTTTATAGAGGCGGTACGTGCATTTTCAACTAGTTCATGAACATGTCCTGTTACACATCTGCTTTAAATGCTTTCCAAATGTGATGGGTGAAGGCAGTTGATTCATAGGTGAAAAGACAGCTTCCAGTCTGTGCAATCCCAGTGTTACACATGCAGTCTGATTCTACTTGGGTGAAGAAGAACCTATAGAGGGTCGTAATGCTGCTCATTGGAGGGGGTTTGAACTTGATGAACTTTGAAGGTCCCTTCCAACCTAAACTGTTCTATGATTTGATGATTTTATAACCTTACAGGGAGGGAAGAGTCCTTCTGTTTAGCCTTAGACAGCGCTGGAAAGAGCCTGTTTCCTTTTGTGGCCACAAATTGCTAAAGCTACAGATGCTATTTTGTCTCTGAGGAGGCTGGATCTTACTACAACACATACGCTTTGATGCCCTATTATGCTGTGGAAATCTAGCAATAGTAGAGCAAATTTTGGAGCAAATAAAATTGCAGCTAATATGGAGCACCATGAGAATCATGACACTTGTTTGAAGTGATGGTGCTTGTTTCTATTTCCATATTGCATTTGCAGGCTGATGCTCTTCATTAATGAAGTGTCTGGCACAACTGAGATGTGATGTTGCTTGTGTCTTTTGTCCCACAGTTGAACTTCACCCATCAGGTATCATCTCTGAGGTGCTAGATGATGTTGAAAACAGGAGCTTCACTGCCGAGGACCCTGATGATGGTAGGGACTTCAATATATCTCGCTGTCTGCATTGATTAAGCTTGGATTAAGTTAATTATTACATCTCGCAAGGGAAAGGGAGGTGTATTGTACCTAATGGCTTTAAGTAAATTGCCCCCATTTTGATACCCACAGCCAGCCATTGCTTCAGTCACTGATAACATCCAGTGTTCTTGTTTCCTATCCAAGACTCATCACATGAAAGGAATGAGATACTGAGCAGGATAGTTTCTGTCCTTCCTCCCACTGTAGCTTTCTTTGCCTCCCTCAAGCAGCATCAGTCTCTGTGCTGCTTTAAAATGTCACTGACAGAAACCAAAGTGTCATGAAATGGGAAAGAGACATTTTCAGGGGGCAGTTGTACATTCTGGGGCAGCTCTGGGATGTTCTAGAGACGTGGGTAACCTGCCATGAGCAGCACATGCTCTCTTCCGCTGGAGGAAATGGAGAAGGTCAGTGATGTGGCTGCCTTTTTTGTAGTCTGTATATTAGGCATATAATGCTGTCTTGCAGCAAACAAGAGGGTGTAGCTTTTGTAAACCTAAAGTCAAGCAGACCATCTGCTTAAATCCGTCTCCAAAGGCATGGCAGTACAGCTGCCTCACAACACTGGCTAGCAAAACTCAGGCCACACCAGAGTCTCTACATATAAAGTCTTCACCAAGCAGAGCTACAGATTCAGCTTTCTAAGTGAACATGTTTTGCCTGTCCTGTGGGAGGCTGGGTTAATGCGCTGCTGTTTGTGTCATTCAAAGTTTGAAGCTCACACATTCCATTTTCTTCCTTTCAGCCAACTTTTTTATCACTGCAATGCAAGCGGTAAGTGCCTTGTCCCTGCAGTCAGAATTCCTTTGAGCCCTCCAGCTAAGACTTGCCTGGGAGTTTTCCAGTCTGTCATACAAGATTTAGCTCTCAGTATCTCCCTTTTTCACCTGTGCTCATCACCTCCTGTAACTTAACCTCTATGATTCTGCAGTTGTTTGCTTGATACCTGCTGCGCTGGTAACCTGCATGCCTGTGAGAGGCGTCTGTTGCTGGCAGTGGCTACATAAGTCTCTGTCCACTGTGCCCTACCTCCTGTTTCTAGTGACACTGCAGCAGTTGGACAGTCTCAGCACCCAAAGGTGTCAGTTTAGGTCAGAAAGCTCTCACCCACTGGGAGAGCCACACATTTGTCTCATTTAAATGGAATTCCTGCGCAGTCATTGAATTCATCCTATTAGAAATGCTTGCCATCAGCTCATTACTCTTCATACTCCGTGAGTCTCAGAGGGATGTATTGGGTATTGGATTTGGAACCAAAATCAAACTCATCTCATTACAGTGCTGTGATCTTAAGGACATCAAGCTTGCCTACCGGTTAAATAAGGCCATGGAGAAGGGAGACAACTGGAAATTCTTGAGTATGGATCACTTAAATACCTACTGGTGAGTGAAGTGCAGCTGATATTGAGAGTCTCGTGTAGTGGTATCAGTTTGAATACAAACCAGGATTTAAACATTGCAGAGGGTGCTTTGGTGAACACTGGTTATTGTATGCACAGTTTGGGAATTAGGTCCCTCTAAGAACAGTGATAGCTTAGGGTTTATCTTCAGTTTGTGGCCTTGCCCAAACTGAATTGTCTTGAAGTGTCAGTTTAGCTTAATACCCAACAAGTATACCAACCAGTTGTGTTTTCTTCAGTCCTGTTGTCCACTTAAGATGGCAGCTTAGGAGGTAACACCAAAACAGTGTGCGGGTCAGACCTAGCTCTCTGCATGGTGGTGTTGAGAGAAGTTGCAGCACAGCAGGTGTATTTAGGCATGAAATTCCCATGTAGTTCCACAATTTGATGCTGAAATCATGGCATCTAAAGTATCTCCACCAACGTCATTAAGTGCTGCAGTCACTGAACATAAGTAAGTAAGTGGAGCATACTGATTTGAAGAGAAGCCTGTTAAGGCATTGGAGCCAGAGATGCTCCTGTAAATTGATAGAATCATCATAAGAATCACAGAATGGTTTGGGTTGGAAGGGACCTTAAAGCTCACCCAGTTCCAAACCCCTGCCACAGGCAGGGACATCTTCCACTAGAGCAGCTTGCTCCAAGCCCCTGTGTCCAACCTGGCCTTGAAATTTGTGAAAATTATCATCCAAGCAAGATGCAGTTTCAGAGGTGGATGATTCAGACAATTGCACCTTATTTAGCCTTCAAGTAAACCAAGGGAAATTTAATTTCTTGGTGTAGGGACATTTTTCCTAGCCAGTGCGTTGGGTCAGGGTCCCAGGTGTGCATTGTGAACCTGTACAAGTAACAAGGTTAATTTAGTTCACTTCTTCAAGCGGCTCTTAACTAGAGGCTGTATTTGACATAGATTCAGGTACTTCAAACCTGGCATCATGCAGGGAGATTGCATTCTTTTGAGATTTTTAAATGCAGTGCTCTAACTTCTGGTTAATTCTGCCAGCTGCCTAGTGTCAGTGTTCTCTCATAAAAATGCTATGCTTATTTAACTGTATGGAGCATTGCGGTGATACAGTGAGGTCTCCCTGATCCACATACAAATCTGAGCAGAACACCATCATTTGCTGGTGCTTCTGTATGGTTTAGTTGAGCTAATCCTAAATGAATTGGAATGTTTCTCCCCTCCTCTAGGTCAAAATTCTTCTCCTTGTTGTGCATGATGGAACAAATTGATGTCGTATTGAAGTGGTACAAAGAAATGTCCTGTTCAGTAAGTGTGTGCTAGGGTAAGTTTCAGAGCTTTGGTGTGGAGAGGTGGAACAGTTACAGCTTACTGAAACAACTCGCTTGCTTCACCAGCTCTTCTATCCAAGTCCTAAAAACATATTGGAACTCCTTCAAGCCCTGGATGCAGCCAACTACTTGGAAAGGATCCCTTCAGTCTGGGAAGGTTAGTGATAACCACATGGCTATGGAGGCTGCTTGCCTGCTAGAAATCAGGAGCTTTTATCCCCAAGTAGGAGGTAGCTGGAGGACTTCCTACTGCTCAGAATAGCCACAGTTGGGTGCTTTGGCATGAGGGATGTTATTTCTTAGTGCAGTGATGGGGCTATTGTGGTAGAGAAAGGCAGAACCCATGTTTGGGCCTGCATAGACTACCAGTGTGGCTGTGTCATAGTTAAATGTCAATGTCTTGGAAAACAGTGCTTACCAGAGAGCAGCACCTTAACCAGCAGCCCATGGTTAACTCATTTAAACTACTTATCTGTTCTTTACCCCTTAAGAAGAGGAGACAAGAATGCAGATACAGGCTTTAGCACCCAGAAGGTACTTTATTGTCACCCAGAGGGGACAGACGGGTTTCTTTAGGGATCCTGGGCAGAATGATGACAGCACCGATTTGTAGTTAGAATTAAAGCTTTATTTTCTTAACAGGATTTTATGATTAGCATAGAATTGATAAGCAGAATAGCATGGGATTTCTATAGGCAGAATTAGTGTAATACAATTTTATCTAAGTAGCAGAATTTTATAACACTGCTTAGCTTAAGGTTTCTAATCATCTGGACCCTCTGCAGATGGGGTCAAGTCTCAGTATTTGGTTTGCTCTATAAAAGAATACAAGTCACCACTTGGTCTTCAGAGGAAGCAGACAATGGTGGAGATGTCTCTGACCACTGAGAGTCATGGGTCTCACTATCCAGCAGCAGTTCAGGTCCATGTTCCCACTTAGGACCTGTAACTGCTTGATGTTACTGACAGTGCTCTGTGTGCTGTTACCTTCCCTGTTCTGTGCCGTGGTCATCACCAGCATTGGGTTGGCTGGGTGCTGGGCACCTTGAAGGCTGTTAGCAAGGGGAACAGTCAGCCTGGCACCCAGGAATCTGCAGGCTGGCAGAAGAAATCCCTTTAGTTCATGTACTGGGTGCACAGGACCTTCAGGGCATGATAATGAGGGGAAAGGGAACTAATACAAGGCCTGCTCAGTCACAGAAAATGCTTTATAAGATGGCATTCATTACACTGACCTTAATACCTGGAGTTGGGAGCAGAGGTACCAGCCATGCATACCAACTATTGCCTTTCTCTAACAGATGTAAAACAGATGGGGTTTAATAGGAGACCAGAACTGTTGGAAGAGCTCTTGTCTTTGATGAGCAGGGAGCAGCACCCTGATGAGGTAAGGAAGCTGTCATGGTTTAACCCCATATACAGCAAAGCACCACACAGCCACTTGTTCCCTCCTCCCCATTGGGATGGTGGGGAGAATCAGAAGGGTCAAGTGCAAAAACTCCGGGGTTGAGATAAAGACAGTTTGATGAGGGAAGCAAAACTGTCTGAGCAAGCAAAGCAGAACAAGGGATTCATTCACCACTCCCCATGGGCAGGGAGGCAGTTCAGCCATCCCCAGGACAGCAGGGCTCCATATGTAACGGTTACTCAAGAAGATGGATGTGAACATCCCTCCCTTCCTTCTTCCTCCTCCAGCTTTATATGCTGAGTGTGATGCCATATGGTGTGGAATATCCCTTGGGTCAGTGGGGGTCAGCTGTCCTGGCTGTGTCCCCTCCCTGTTCCTTGTGCACCCCCAGCCTATACTCTGTGGAAGCACTGTTCAGCAGTAACTAAAACATCCCTGTATATCAACACTGTTTTCAGCACGTCCAAAACAGCCCCCTACTAACTGCTGTGAAGAAAATTAACACTATTCCAGCCAAAACCAATAAAGAGACTCTGCGAAAAGAGTAGAGCTCTCCCCATTTCTTAGTGCAGCATATAGACTGTATTTAAGTGCTGATTTATCCTCCTTGTCAGTCTTAGTTCCAGTGCATATGCCATTCCAAATTTCCAGATCTATGTGAGCCCATCCAGGCCTGCTAAGCCCTTTGAATTGTCTTCAACCTCCAGAAAAACCTCGGATTAACACAGAAGAGGATCACATCCTTACCTGGGTTTGGAAGAACAGTCCAGCCCAGACAGCCACATCCTTGTGAAATTCAGGGATTTTTGCCAGAGATGTTGTAGTAACTGGCTCCTCAACCTAAGGAGAGTTAAAAGCTTCTATGTACTGCAGAGCTCTCAAGTACCTGCAAAGCCATCTTGGAGCTGGCAGAAGTGAGCATTTTTTTGTGAGGAATAACCTTTGTTAATGGACACATTTAAACCACAAACCTGTAGGAGGAATTGCAGTGAAGGGGGGATGTTAATTCTAGAGAGTTTGGGATTAATGGCACAATCTCTCCACAGATCCAGCAGGCGTTTGCCAAGTGTGCTGAAGACATCAAAGCTGTGCACGAGCAGAGCGGGAGGGAGCGGGTCCAGTTACAGTGGACAGGCAGCATGCTGGGCTGCATTGCTCTCCTGTTTGCCAGGGCTGGCAGGACCCAAGATGCTTGGTACGTGTGAGGCTGCTGTGAGCGTTTGGTTGCTGACCCTGTAACTCAAGGCTTAATCCCAAAAATCCATTGCCTTGGAATGCTGGTGCAGGCAAAAGGAGGGGATAAATCCTGCTGGGAATGTGAGGAGGGTTCCTTAACTTTACTGTTCATTCTTGGCACCAGGTTACAGTTGTCTGTCTTAGAAATGGGTTAGAAGTTAATGCAGCAGCTGGCTTAGAGCATCTCACAGCTGCTTATGGCAAGGTGGGGTTTATCACTTCATTAAGCACTGCTGACTGCCTGCAGCTTCCCATTTGATAACTTCCAGAGCCCTTTGAAATTCAAACTGCTCAAGAGATTAATTAGAGTTTAATTAAACCTTTAATGAACCCTAATTAGACCTATAAAGAGAATACGTTTAGAACTAGAATTTGCTGTCCTGCCTGCTCTCAACTTGAAATGCTGGTTGAAATAACTAGCTTCCAGTTGAAGGTTCTGAGCTGTTTTCTGTTAAACACAGATGTTCTCTTCGCACTGATTCATTTGAAACAAAGGTTTGGCAAGTACCCTTCTAAAAATACATCATACTTTAAGCTTCCCATCAGCTACACTTGCTGTTTTCTCTGACACTAATGTTAAGAGTTAAGATATTTTGTGTTAAAGCCATCAATGCTGGTAGCTGGCACACACCGCATCTGTGAAAACACAGCATGGGGTGTGTTTCAGATCTGTGGGGAAGGTTGTTTCATGACATTGAGCTTGCCTGTGTCTCAGCAGGGGCTTGTCTTACCCAGGAGATTCAGTATCTGTCTCTTCCTGTGGTTTGTGGTGTGTGAGGGTTTTTTAGTGACTGTTTTGGTTTCTTTTGAACAGGAACATGATGGAGCGTTTCCAGCAGATCAATAGGATTCCCACGTAAGTACTTTTAGGTTCTGACTTCAGGTAGAGGCTGAGATCTTGCATTTCTATTATAGAATATCATAGTTGGGGTTAAAAGCTTTCTGCTGGGATGGTTGTTCCCAAGTGCACCACGTTGGTACAGGGTGAAGACTGAGGTGAAATTCCTGCAGGAGCAGAATTGGGCTGGTTGAGTGATGTGAGGATCTGTCACCTCCTTTCCCTCTAAAGGAGGTGCTGTAAATTAATGGACACTTCACCTGGGACCCTGTGAACACTCTTTGCATTTCTTTTGCAGTAATCAGGTGTTGGATGGGTTCTGGAACTGTGCTAAACAAACCAATAACGCAGATGAGGCGATTAAACTGGTAAAGCTGGTAGCATCCCTGGGCCATCCTGCATCTCAAAAGCTTAAAAGCAAAACGGAGAAGGAGTTTGAGCTCTCTGAAAAGCAGAAGTAAGTTTAAGTACTTCATGTTACTGCTGAAGGGATATAGCAGGGTGTTGGAGGGGTAATTCCTGTGGAAAGGTGGCACAGAATTGGCTTGTCCGTGGACTCTGGTTGATTCACACTCCCAAAATGGTCGCTGCTTTTGATTCCACGCTGTCCATCCCTCCTAGAAGGAATGGTTAGTGTTATCCACCACTCACATCTGCTTCCACCTTTCTTTCCTAGAATCTTCTCCTAGCTGGGTCTGGCCACCTAAAAGATACTGATTGCAGGCTAGTAAAAGCAGGAAATGGGCACAGGATGGGCCTGCACATGGCTCACAGGTTCTGAGGGCCATGGTTAATCTTCAGTCCATCTCACCAGGCATCACTGTTCATCACTGCAGCAAGCTGCTGCAGCCAAGCTCAGTTGCTGGTTTTAGCCTTGAGGGACCACAGTATGGAGCCAGTGGTCTGGTCCAAGGGAATGAATAAACGGAAGTTCAGCATCCTTGAGAAGCTGACCCATCACTTCTGGGTAACTTAAGTGGCTTTTCCAAAGTGTGCTTCCACCAAATGTTGGGTAGACCTGTCCTTTGAGGACAATAGGTGTCAGCCCATAACGTTCTTTTTGGAGGGGGTTTACCCTGTGTTTTACATCTGTCCTTTCAAGCGGAAGTCACAAGATGTCACTGATCACTGAACTGTTTTACACATGCAGGAAGACATTGGAGAGCATCCAGCCAGACAGCGACAGTGACAGCGACAGCGATAGTGACAGTGACCGTGAGTAGCTGTCCTTGCCTTCCTCACTGGAAAACTGGGAGCAGCCGCTGCCTGGATGCCAGGAGTCTTCTGTGAGAACTGAAATGACTGAGGGGAAGTGTTTGGGAGGTGCTGCAGCACTGCTGAGCACTTTAGAGCTCTCCCGTACAGGACCTGCTTTGCAAGAGGACGCTGTCCTTGTTGGATCAAGCTGGAGTGTGTCCTGTTTGGTGACTTCAAACACAGTGTGCCCTACACCAGCACAGTTTCTTCCACACCCCTACCTGCATGAGCTGGCTCCCAGCAGTCATGACCTGCTGAAGCAGGGGAGGGCTGCAGCAAGGAGTGCACTTCCTGAGGCTGCTCAGCACATACAAGACATTGCCAGCTTGAGCCACTTCTCTTGGGCCTCCTGTGACTTAAACCTGTGCCAGATTTAATTCCTTTCCAGCCAACTTCACTGAACTACTTAAATACGAGGTTTACTCTGTATGTAAACACTGCAGATGCAATACTCATCACCTGTGTGTTGTTCCCCATCTTTCTGGGTGTTCTGGGACAGGCTTTGGACTGTTGGAAGATGCTAAAACTACAATTTGTACAGCTGGAGACTGCATGTAATAAATGGCTGACAGAAAGCTGGCTGCATCCTGGTAATCCCTGAGCAAACAGTTGATTGACTACAAAGTGTTGCTGCTCTGTGAGAGGGTGAGTGAAGTTCATGCAGAGCACAGTAGTAAAGCTACTGAGGTGGCTGGGCAGACAGGACTGGGGTTTGGTTCTCTGCCTTGGAGGTAACTGGTGCTCACAGCACGGTGCTGCATCAGGGTAAGTCAGGAATGAGTTGAGGAAACAACAGCTGCTAGAGGTAGAACAAGCCATAGCTGAAAGGGTGGAAGTTCCCCATGGTACAAGAACAGAGGGACTTCACTGCTGCTTGAAGGCAAGACTTGCTCCAGAAGGCAGACATGCCTGTGCACTGTGTAGCAAGTGCTGGGTGTAGCAGAGAAAAAGGGATTTTGGGGTGATGTTCCACCAGTTTAAAACTGGATTAACAAGTGGACAAAGCCACGGTTACTGATTTCAATCTTCCTTCACTGATGATAAGAAGGGAAAAAGGGGGAAGAAAGAGGGACAAAGGAGAAAAGGGATGGAAAGAGCTTGGTCTTTATGTGAGCTCTCACTGTTGAATCAAAGTCTGGCTTCTAGAGAGAAATACCTACTTGTCTGCAACTACAGAAGACCAGGTCTGACAAGGGGCAGAAGTCCACCAGGGCAACCAGGTTAAGTTACACACCTAAACCTATATTCATCCATGGATTTTTTTGCAGCTGTATAAATGGGCAGATGGATCACATCTATGATCTTGTTCCTTTAAAGATTCAAAAATGAGCTTCTCCAGGCCATGGAGGAAGGCTGCTCTTCATAGAATCCCAGACTGGTTGTGGTTGGAAGGGACCTTAAAGCTCATCCAGTTCCAGCCCCCTGCCATGGGCAGGGACCCCTTCCACTAGAGCAGCTTGCTCCAAGCCCCTGTGTCCAACCTGCCCTTGAACACTGCCAGGGATGGGGCAGCCACAGCTTCTCTGGGCACCCTGTGCCAGCGCCTCAGCACCCTCACAGGGAAGAGCTTCTGCCTAAGAGCTCATCTCAGTCTCCCCTCTGGCAGGTTAAAGCCATTCCCCTTGGCCTGTCCCTGCAGGCCCTTCTCCAAAGCCCCTCTCCAGGTTTCTTCTAGGCCCCTGTAGGCACTGGAAGGCTATATTTGACATTGACATGAGACTGAACAGCAGGAGAAAGTCGTTGAAGTCTGGTTTTATTGAGCTGACAAAGTGGCGAATTGTTAATGGCAGGTTACAAACATGATTTTGGTTGACCACAAGCCTGCTTGGTAAGATGGGGAAGAAACAAAACTCTTACACCAATTGTAGAGAAGCTTCCTGAAGCTGGGTGTCAGGATAACTCCAAACTGACAAAGATACAACAGGTTGTGAAGTTAAATACAGTGCAAGGAAACAAATCCTGCACCCGTGCTTTGCTTTCACACCTCCAGCCCCTGCCAACGGCTTGCTTTGCAACCCTCAGGAGACGATGCCACTTCTTCCCAGCACATTCCATCACTGAACCACCTCCAACGCCACAATCCTGCCTCACTGCACTTGAGTTGTTCCCAGCCCCACGGCGCTGGCGTACGCCGTCAAGATCTCCACGATCTGTTTTGTTTCCAGGGTCATGCGAGCCTCGGTGAGCCAGTCGTGGGCCACCCTCCTGGACTCCCCTCTCAACTGGTTGACAAACTTGGCCGCCAGCTCCAGGTCTCCGTGTTCGATGCAGTAGGAAGCGTAAGACAGTAACTTGAAGGTGTCGAGGTCGTCGGGGCTGAGCTCTGCAGGCGGCTTCAGCTGCTGAGGGTGAAAGACAAGCAGGGACTGCAGGTAGGACAGGAAGTACTGGTACAAGCTGTTTCTGGTCTCATCGATCATAGCCACCCGTTTGGCCAGTTTTTGGACCGTGTAGAAGCGCGCTCTGAGGGCCTCTTCGCTGTAGACTCCCCGTGTCAGGGACTCCTGCGGGAGAGCTGCTGTTAAGGCTTCGGTGAACGCGTTGTCAGCACAACTGGCTTTGATGGCCTTCACTGCACTCTCCAGGGGTTCTGTGGGACTGTCCCCAGAGGCTGTTTTCATGCAGTATTTGAGTGCTTCCACAGAGAGCCACAGCTGATGGGCCTTCCTGGCCTCCTCCTCTGCCACTGCGTGACCTGCAAGGTTAAGCCAAGAATGAGATGCTCGTTTGGGTGCACACATGGGAAGTTGTGAACATGAGCAGCAAAAGCCACCTCTAAACACTCTGCTTTGACAAGCACCCACTCCCACAGCACTTGATCCTAAATCTGATCCATAATTCAGGATCAGAACAAGACAACAGCAGTTTGGACTCACTGAGTAATGTGGCAAACCCAAGACCACAAGTTACGTGCCCAAACCTGGGTTTAGGCACCGAGGTTGGGTAACACAACTTTAGTCCTTAGAGAAAGGTGATTTCAGTGCTCACTCTCGACTGCTTGCTCAATTCCCTTCAGCCTGGCGAAGGCAGTGTTGATGTCCATGGTGAAGTTGTCTAGCTGCTCCTGATTAAGGCGTCTGAACTGTATTTCTTGTTCACTGAGTTTCTCTGCTAAGTTCTGAAACAGAGCAAGACACATCGATCAGACCAGAAACAGCCACTTCATTACAGGCACCTGATTTTTAAGGGGTGTTTCTATAAAGCTCTTGTCCCTGCTAGGGACAATGCATATAGTAAATACAACAGACCAGTGAAAAGCCTTACTAGAGTGAATTTAACAGTTATTACACTTGGAACTATCCAAAGTTTATCATTTATGGTAAAATCTTTAGAGACCTTGTCAAAAGTTCCTCTCCAGTATTCTCGTGTGCCCCCTTTAGGTATATGAGAGATATCCCCCTAATTCCCTCAGGGACTCTTCTCCCTTACCTGCTCAAATTCCACCTTCAGGTCCTGCTCCTGGACCCTCAGAACGTCCCTGATGTGGTCTGTGTGGGCAGCCGCCTGCCGCCGGAGCTGCGTCCGCATTTCACCCTCCATCACCTCCCGCACTTCTTCGATCTGCACACACAAGGGGCTGTTACAACAGTGCTAGTTTCCAACTGCTTGTCGCAGGTGGTGATTTATACAACATCACTGATTACCCAGCAGGTATTTTATACAAGTGGCATTGATAGGGCCAATGTTTCATCTTAAAAAGCTGCTGAGGTCCAGTTCCATAGCTGAGCCTTTTCCTGTTCAAAAGCAGCTTCACAATCCACTAATGCCAACAACTGCTGATTACTCACCAGGCACTTACTGCGGTTTAGCCACAGAAAGGTTTAATTTATGGTGTCTGTATCTATCCCAGACTGGTTTGTGTTGGAAGGGACCTTAAAGCTCATCCAGTTCCAACCCCTGCCACGGGCAGGGACACCTTCCACTAGAGCAGGTTGCTCCAAGCCCCTGTGTCCAACCTGGCCTTGAACACTGCCAGGGATGGGGCAGCCACAGCTTCTCTGGGCACCCTGTGCCAGCATCTCAGCACCCTCACAGGGAAGAGCTTCTGCCTAAGAGCTCATCTCAGTCTCCCTTCTGGCAGGTTAAAGCCATTCCCCTTGTCCTATTCTTCCAGCCCCTTGTCCCAAGCCCCTCTCCAGGTTTCCTGGAGCCCCTTTAGGCACTTTAGGAGGCTGCTTTACCTTCTTCTCCTGTTCCAATTCAATCTCACTCTTGTGATGCTCCAGCGCTTTGGCCACAGCTGCCTCAAATGCTTTTTTATCTTCAAGTTTCTGCTTCTCCAGGGCCAGCTCAATGTGCTGCTGCTCCCGCACCCGCTGCTCTGCCAGCTGCTTGTTCAACTGGTCGATGCGGCGATGGGCATGTGCAATGAGAGAGTTCAAGTCGTCTGTTGATAACTGGTCAGCTGAAGAACACACAGGGTGTTAGGGAAGGTCTGCAGGGAAGTGGCTGCTCTACTGCATTGTCCACCTCCCCCTCAAGCACTCTGAGGCTCTGTGTGGTTGGCCAGTGAGCATGTTTTATGGGGATCCCTGAGCACTTCAAGCCTTTGACCTGTGCTAATGCCCACCCAGAACTGCTCTGAACCCACCTACGGGGAAGGACTTCCAATCTAGGAGAGAAATCCCAGACTGGTTTGTGTTGGAAGGGACCTTAAAGCTCATCCAGTTCCAACCCCCTGCCACAGACAGGGACACCTTCCACTAGAGCAGCTTGCTCCAAGCCCCTGTGTCCAACCTGGCCTTGAACACTGCCAGGGATGGGGCAGCCACAGCTTCTCTGGGCACCGTGTGGCAGCGCCTCAGCACCCTCACAGGGAAGAGCTTCTGCCTAAGAGCTCATCTCAATCTCCCCTCTGGCAGGTTAAAGCCATTCCCCTTGTCCTGTCCCTGCAGGCCCTTGTCCTAAGCTCCTCTCCAGCTTTCTCATATCCCCTTTAGGCACTGGAGCTGCTTTCAGGCCTCCCTGTAAGGAGCCTTCTCTTCTACAGGCTGAACCATCCCAGCTTTCAGCCCATCTCCATAGGACACTGAACACTGATAACTCCAGCTTGGTCCAATCTTATAGAAATTAGATCCTGAAAACACTGAATTCATTGTGAGAGGCAGCCA